GACTGGTATCTCTATACTGTACTATATGTAATCAAGTTTCAGATATTCCCATAACACCCTTCATGTAAAAAAAATCAAAGAAGATTTATATATGTCAGATACTGTGTGTTTGGACATTTGTAGTCCAGTAGGATATTTCAATGCTGTGAGAAGCAAAACGTATAGTGTGGGATTAGAATGAGTAAAAACTTTGTGTTAATATCTTTTTTTCCTTCTTTCAAGACAACTTTAATCTAGTTGCTTTACTTAATGCTACTTGCACACATGAATTGGATAATTAGTAATCTCATAAAGGCAAATTCTTTATTTTTTGTGGATTGTACCCAAGAGGAAAAAAATCTTAATCACTTGAAAGCCTCATCTCCTCCTCCCTACCCCTGCCCCCCAAATCAAAACAAAGCAACTCCCCCCAAACCAAACAGACAAACCATAAAATTATGTTGCAATAGTGTTTTAAGTAGGTTTGCTGGAGGGAGGGGGATGGAGAGGGAGGAATGAATGTTGGTTTTGAATAGAAGTTTGGCGTTTGGAAGACTTGTTTGCACTAAACAGTATCCTTAAAACAGGGACCAGTATAGGTTGAGTCCCCAAATAAATTATTACTTTTCAGACTAAAAATAAAACATTTTAAATATATTGATTATACCTTCATCAGAACATAAGTATTCTATCTAGCCTATAAGTTCCAAGAATCTCTATTTGGGCTTAGCTTACCATCATTTCAAAACAAAACCATGAAATGTGAAATTTTGCACATTAGGATGTTCATAGTGACCACATAAAGTTAAAAAAAAATTCACAGACTTTTAGCCATATATTTCAACTTTTTCTCACAATTTGAAACTGGTGAGAATTAAAAATAACATCAGTGTCATGTTGAGAGTATTTATTTTTTCATTTGTTAAAACCAGATGCATTCCTTTGTGCTTTTTTTTAAACAATATTGACTTTTGGGGGGCATGCATGAGTGAGAAGGCAATTGGGTAAAAATAAAAACATGTGCTCAATGAAAATCTTAATCATATCATGCCACTGACTTTAAGCCAAACTCTATCCTGATTTCAGGCTTGAGTGTGACTTAAAAATCTTTGGTATGATATAAGACTCACATTAATCTGAACAGTCTTTCAGTCATATCCATTGTTCCCTCACTTTAAATGCTTTTCTTCATCTGTATTTCTGACTTGGAGTAAAGATTCAGAATTGCATTTCAAGTCTATGAATTTTTGTGGCATTTTGACTCCTATTCCTGCCCCATCTCCATTGATTTAGGATTTCTTTGCCATTGCCGAGTGACAAAAAGTTGAAAAGTTATGGCTAGTTGTATTTCTATTTTAATAACCATACCTATATAATTGTCTTTTTCATACATTAAAAAAATATTTATGCTTTCTTTTATATTTTAGTCAAGTACTTTCTTAAACAAAACAATAGCACCACTTTGGCATTGTTGGCCAAATCAGTAGCAGGTAAAGCAAATATGCATACACTTTTCTAAACTAGTCTTACCATGCACTTGCTTTTTAAAATGGAGAGCCAAGAAGACACGGTGCTTGGCCTTGAGTCTTCATTAATCAACTTTAACTATTGGTATTAAGTGAACAACCAGCTCGTGGGGTAACTGAACATAGCTACTAGTTGTGTATAGAATTCACTTCTGTAAAGAAAGCCTGCCACTAATTTACCCTTTAATCTTAAAAAAGAAATTGACACTGTAATCTGTCTCGGGTAAAAGGTGCCCGCTGTAATGTATCTACAGGGACTGAATGCAGTATCCCATTATTTGATTTTCTTTTCTCTTGACTGAATGGTACGAACGAGCCTCACACAAGCGTAAGTGTAGGTTTGCAAGTACGTTTTGGGCAGAATATAGAATCTATTCATTTTCCATTTAAACTCTTCATGATTAATTATGGTTACTATGGAGATGAGGCCCAAATTTTGCTACCTTAATGAAAGAGATATATTAACTTCAGTGGGTTTAGGTCTGCGTTCCTTTTTGAACTAACTGAAAATAATGAGGCTTAATTCACTTTTTTTTACTTCTGCATTTTAGTGACATTCTGTGTAATAATTGGAGTTTTATGTCTGTTCTAGAGCACAAAAATCTGTGACTTCTGTCACGTGATTTACATGATATGCAAGGACGGGGAGTGGGATTTTCTTTACCACTTAAGTGATTTATGAGAATCAATGGCATCCAGTGGGAGCCCTGTTCCTAAATATCTGGAGTGCTTTTGAAAATCCAGCTGAACCCTTCATTTTCTCTAATTAGAAGTTTTTGAGTCAGACTGCTTTGTACTTTTGGGAGGGAGATGTTTTGGCTCATGCTTCAACTTCTTTTAAGTAGTGGATTTATTGAGATTATTAAGCTAATGCAGCCCTTTCTCTTTCACACTGACCGATACATCATGTGCTCCCTGCCATATGACTGGAGATTTTTTATACAAGTCTGCATTTCCCATCCATGCATTTCTCACCTCTGTGGTGGTGGAGCTACCCTCCATTTTGTGATAACCATTTATTCGCTAGTAAAGCAAAGCATTGCCTTTGAAGCTTGCAGCTATTCATTATTTATTGTAGTTTCTTTCAAGAATTGTTCTAATTTGTTTAGACAGTTGTCAAGTTCTGATGTTAGATATTGCTGTCTATGAGTGACATTTTCTAATTATAATTTCTCAACAGGAGAAATATGGTGGCATGAATGTGAGTGCATGAATCCCAAGATAAGACCAAAATTTGAATTAATTTCCAGGAATTAAACAGCGCAATGGTATATGGTTATTCAGTTATGTTAACAGTGCATCAGTAAAATGCTACAAATCTACAAAGAAACTTGCCACCACAGAGATCTGCAAATTGCTTTTTGCGCTCACACCTTTCCTCCCTCCTCCCCTTAGAACTTCAGAGGAGGTAGGGACAGAAAGAGTCATGGATATGAAATGGACATACGCATTATGTCTGTGACATCAAAATAATGGCTTATACTTAGAATGCATTTCAGAATTCTTAACTTCCCTCTCCAACCCCTCTGCCAAAAAAAGGCCTGTAAGAGCTGTGATAGATATCAGAATTGCTACCTCTGTTTATTGAATTGGTGGTAAATAATTTAGGTTAGTTTCCCCATCTATTTCTCTGTACTTTCTTCCTTTTTCAACATAACTGTCTCAGTCAGTGACAGCTGTGACATATGCTTTTTATTCATTTACTGTTCTGCTTTTACATTGCGATGGCAGCCTATTGTTCATATAAACATGTATTTCACAGAAAGCAGAGGGTTTAAAGAATTGCATAGGAATACATTGCACTTTCCTTGGAAAAAATACGAAACGCGAATTTTCTATGGGAATATAAAAAGGAGCTATAATAATTTGCTAGGCTTTTAAGACCTACCTTTCCTGTCTCTTTCACAGGAAACTATTGAGGAGCTGTACAATATGCAATCTGCAGATATTCTTCTCTTGTGTTTCAATCAATAGTTCAGTCATCTACTCCCGTGGATGTAGTAGAAAGTAAGGCAGATCTGAGCCTTTAAAAAGAGATACTTCTTTACAGGTCTCATCTAGCATCTCCCTAATTGCTCCCTTCATACAGTATTCTCCCTGCCCTCTTTGGGTCTGACCAAGGAATACTTCATCCCTTGTCTGAGCTTACTCAGATGGGGGGATGTGCGGGGTGATGGGGGGAAGTTGAGTGGAACCACGTTGCAGTTCTGGATGGGGTGGAACACTGCATTCTCCCCTGCCTTCTCTTCCCTTCTCTCACAGAGAACTTTACTGCTCACCTTGGGACACTGTTGGCTACCTATCCCCCTTTACTGCATGGCCCACCTCACACTCAGATGATTTACAAAAACGGAGCATAGGATACAGTGGTATTCAGGGTAGAATCAGTGCAGTACCTATCAAGGTTACATGGCAGAGATTATCCAGAAATATGTCTCCCACAAAAGTGCATGAAAAGCTATTGTGAATAGCAGTTGGAAGGACGTCATGGTTCATCTCTTCTTGAGGACTCTTTCTACACTCTAATTTGATGATTAGATTAGCTTTTCTAATTTATGGAGAGATGCAGCAGCCTAATTAACAGACAATTTAGTCACATCTGATCGTGAGAAGAATAAAAATGGCAGAGAATTTGAGTAACCCTCTGTTATATTTGAATAGAATGCTGATATTTCAGAAAGATTTAGGCCCTGATGGGCTGCCCTTTGAAGTCACTTGAGGGCTGTTTTTCAGATTGTCTTCTCTGGGCCGAGGCAGCTACGAATTTGTGTTCCACATAATTGTAAGTGGAAACACCAATATTCAAACATCTAAAATAAAACAAGTATCTGAAGTTTCTTTCAAAGTTATTTCCGTGTTGGAATCTGAAGCCATTTTAGTTCATTTAAACTCAATATTTTTAAAACTGTTTTGTTATTTAATCTTTGGCTTGATCTTTCCGTATTTGCTTTTACCTATTACCGCTTTGGCCAGACCCTTTCATGTAACAAACTATAAAATAGCACCGTTGTACTATAAAACAGAGATTTTTACATACTGTTTGATATATGTGTATTATTGATATGCTAAATTTTACATACTGCATTATATGGAGGAAGAAAGAAGTTACCTATACTGTTGCAAAATAATTACCTGGAAGAATCATTAATGGTTTGAGAGCCTATGTATGCTTTAACTGCTTTTAAAAATCTTTTGTCTCACAAATTGCAATAAACTGCATCTTTGCAAGAGAAGGAAAAAGAAAACTGTCTTAAAACGAATGCGTCTATAACCCATATCCTGTCAAAATGCCACAGATGGAATTAATGGATGTTTAAAACTGTATATGTTACCTTACTGCTGCTGTTACTGGGAATGTCAAACTGTGCAAATATGAAGGGGTAGACAAACAATGTTATCAGACACTGTAAAACAAACAGCCTGTTGCTTGTATAGAAGTGCAAATAAAAAAAACACCACTTAGACAAGGCTGATGAATGACTCCAGCAGCCAGTGTTCATAGGTTAATTTAGTGCAATTGGATCCATCAAAGGCCCATAATTTTTTAGGCTTTTGAGGGGCACAGGACTTTAAGAGATTTTGTGCAGGACATTTAAAACAGGTTAACAAACAGTAATATATCAACCACAGAATTTTTTAGCTCTGGGCTGGTTAAAATGTTCTGTTCTCTAAAGACTTAATATTGGAATGTTTAGTTGCATTGTTCACTGGGAGAATGCCCATTGGTTGAGATTGCATCAAGCTTATTAAACCATAGGTTTTTTTAAGTCTTCCAATGTTTAACAAATAATTTATTTACAGCAAAGTATCCTGCAGATGGCACATTCATTCTTCATTCTTGTGGATGGCATGTTCTTACATTCTGTAGTTTCTGTTTCCTGTGTTCCCTCTACTTGTGTTCTTCAAATGCACTTCCTGAAGGTATAGAAAAAAGCAATTATTCCAGATAGGTTTTAATATGCTGTATGACCACAAAACTTACAATAGTGAGAAAACAGTGATCATGAATGCAGGAATTGGTAGAGCCCTTCTGCCAGTTCAGAGAACTTAACTATGCAAAATTTCTGTACACTAAATTCCTGTTCTCCTAGGCATAAACACTTTGCTGTCATTATTGATCTTGGCCGAGGAAACATCTGCATACTGGAACTGGGATGGGCTTAGACATACAGTAGGTACCAAAGGTTTTCTTTCTTTCTTTCGGAACAAGATCATTTGCAAAAGCAGGATGTATAGGGGCCAGGGAACTCCAGAGTTGTAACTGCAGGATTTATGGAGCTTCCTGGGCTTTGGTACCCAGTGGTCGGAGGTTTTCAAAATTGCTGAGTGGGACTCGGTTACCTGCTTTTTGCATAAATGGCATATTAGATGTGTAAGGTTTTTGTTGGATAAGGCCTTTGGGAGGATAAAAAGTGTGGGTTCAGTGCGGGAGCAGCAGCCAAATAATTTGTACTTTCAGAAAGAGACAGGGTGATGTGCCAGGCAAACCGAGAGGGTTTTGGAATGAACAATGCCCTCAGTTCACTGTCTTTCCACGCACAGGCCGGTTTCCAGCAGCAGCCATGGGTGTGGCATATATCTTTCAGCTTGATTTCCTTATTTGCAACGCTGGTAAGTGTTAGCTGGGCCCAAATCTTTGAACATTCTGTACCAGACTAGAGGCAGAATTGTTAAGTAACTCTCCATATTTATAATCCTCATCACAAGTAAAATTCTTAGTTAACTGAAATCATGTCTGCTGTCCTAAGAAAAGCCAAAAATAAAACATCTCCCTGAGAAAGGGGAAGTACATGCATGTACTTCTATCACTGCATTATCTACCATTTAAGCTTTTAAGAAAAAAAAAAAAAAGAAATGTAGTGTCTAAAATGTAAAAAACAATGGAATTTTTGCCTGCTGTTCTGATGGACAGAAAGAAAATGGAAGCTGATTTGGTGCCTTACAGTAGTTTTATGGGGTTTTGTAAATGATTTCTGATATAGAATCCTATTCTATATATAACTTTTCCATTTGCCTCTGGTATCTATTAAACATCAAATTAAATCAGAAACTGGCAAAGGATCATAAAATTTGAACTCACCCAGAACTTATTAATTTTCACTGGGTTTGGATTGGGGTCTGATGGATATAAGTTGAATTATTATTTTCAGAATATTAAAAAAAAAAACAACCAACCAAGCAGTACTAGTAATTGTTAGATAAGTTATACCACCAAGTAAGAACATTGAGCCAAACTAAGATTTATCATCACTGACAAGCCAAATTTGTTAATAGCAAACTATTCATAATGAAGAAATGTCTTTGTTAGGAACCTGCCATTCTAGATGTTCTTAGTCTGAAACGCAATACTAAATGAGGAAGAAGAGATTAACTGTGTAGTCACTATTCCTGTGACCAGTTCAGTAGGATACTGGCTTGTCTTCATCAAATTTTGCTAATACCACTATAGAATAGTTTCCTTAGCATGGATCAAATACAAAAAACATAATTCTGTTTATCCATAAATTAAAATATTTTTTGCTGTTTCATTGCCTGTTTCTCATCCAGCTTTTACAAAGCTCCCTTTTCTGTCTTTAGTTTTGCCTAAGCTGTACCTTAGTTTTTACCCTGAAACACTCATTCTGGATGAATCCTTCAATTTTCACTGATTTTCACTAACATTATCATTGCAGCACGTCACAGGAGTCTGACATTGTTAAGGATCCTGCCTCGTGCTACAAATGCTTATACTGGTAACAATGAACTAAGAAAACAGGATTTCCTCGACTCATCTACCCTGTTTTTTTCCTCGTGGCAACAAAGCAAAATATCCTCATCAATGCTGCCCCCTAGGTCGTCCTCTTTGAAGAAAGTTTACCAGCAGGTAGAAAGAGTTATATGATACATTTCCTTTGCAGAAAGTCGTACATTCTTAAAAGCTGCACCCTCGTGATCTATAACGTGGACAGTGATAGCCTTATTGTGAAAGAACTGCCATTTTGCATTGCAGTAGGTTTCAAAGTATACTTAGATTGAAAATTAGCTATATGTTTCCCAAAGGAAAATATAAATTCTCTCCATTACCATTGCTGTCCGACTTTAAAATGACTTTATGATCCAAATAAAGCCAGCAGTAAGATGCATCAGGGTTTCAGTTATAGCTTTTAATACTTATATGTAGATGGAAAAAAAGCTGTCATAATACACAGGCTAGCTTTGAAACTGAGGGAAGGTGGCAGGTTACTTTTAGAACACTTTCTCCTCTGGAATCAGCATGTTGATGAATAACTACAAAGAAGTGGCAGTGGTGGTGGCAGCTGTAACATGCGTGCCAGAAAATGCTTTGACCCATATAGCACATTTTTTCAAGTATGCGATGTTGAGACCATCGGGGAAAAAAAAATAAAGGCGTGAATGCTTGAATCAGGTTCTCAGACCTGCATTTGCACTGGTATGGAAAACCTTGCCTTATTTCTCAAGTCTTTGGAAAAAAAGGAAATTAGAAATAAAATTGTTCTCTGCGGTGCTTGTTTCATTATCAGATGCTCTGAGCTGATGTTCAGACGCAGACAAAGACAATAAGCATTTTAAGATGAGAGATGCAAAATGTCAACTTTGTGTAAGTCAGTTCATGAACAGAGAAGCGCAGACTGCGAACCTATCACCTTGTGCACGGATCTTCAGAGACAGGGCGGCCGTAACGTTAGGATAACAACCACCTCAGTGATAGTAAAGGTCATCTAACTAAGACAGAAGGCTATTGGGAAGCACGCGGCAGCATTCTTATCCTATTAGGATGGACATTCAAACCTCATATTGGCATTAAAAGATCTCTTGCTTTATTGGTAATAAGTGGAAAGTCTAATGTTTGTGGTAACAGGCACGATAACTTAGCTACGAGCTCTCTGGGGTCTCTTTGAAACCTTTTTAGTTGTGTGGGCAGTGTGATCAGTGACATAATAACAAGGCTGGAAAGTAAGCAATGGGAGAAAATAATTTTCTGAAGAGGCCAAGTTCTTCTATCTGTTACACCTAAAAGGTTCCCTCATTGGCTTGGTAATGTGGCATGGCTGTAATAGAAATTAGGATTAGTGCCATTGTGCATATTTTGGCCTGTAAATGTATCTGTGACTTGATACCGAGCCAAGTACGAAAGAATCTGCCAATCTTAGAAAGATTAATGAGAAATAATGCAATACTTTTTCTGTTTTCTTAGCGGCATTTTTTTAAAATAAAAATATTAACTTCTTTTCCCTCTCTCTTTTAGTCCCACTTAGTATTTATTTAAATTTTGAAGAACAGATAAAATGTGAAACGGATGTTTGAGAGAATCTGCTTCCTATTGATACCTCGTTGGTATATGTATTTTTGTGTATTTTCCACATACGAGGCCTAAAGAAGAATAAGGACTAAAAATCTGAGCAACAGCAAAATTATATCAAGATGTACACCTCCTTGGTCCTTTTGCTCAGGGTGCAAGGGGATGGCATGGTACTATGTTTTTTTGCTTTTGCTCTTCTTTATTTACAGGATTTTAAAATCGGCCTCACCAGTGTCCACATTCATGTAATAATTTTCAAGGTACCTTGTAGTCTTAAATTGATAAGAACCTTGTGCCACTGGTTCTGTGACACTACTTAGTTCAAAAATGTCAGTCTTCCCTCGTGTACACAACTGTTGTGGAAGTAGCTCAATTTCCTTTGCTTGAACAGAGAGCAGTTGTTCTTCTAAGTTCTATTCACTGGTTTTCCGATTGCTGTTAAAACTTAATTCACTAAGGGTAAATAGGTTAAGCTTTTATTACGATTGCTTATATGAATGAAAGAAAAGCTAGATGGAACCATGTGCACAGAACAATGAACTTTAATTCCCCTGCTTGCACCTGTTTCACAGTTTAACTTAAACACAGACTTAGTGAAAAAGGGTGAAACCATTACTTTGCTTTCCAGCACCAATACTAAAAGTTTCTCCCCGGTCCTTACTCCTACCTTACTAGCTGATGTATGTGCTTATTAAATGAGATTTTAAACTGAAAGCAATGTCAATAGTTATTCTCATCGTTTTAGGTTAAAAAAAATAATCTTGATCTGTAATGTGCTTTGGTTTCACACCTGTCTGTTAAAAATTCAGGGACACCTTTCTTGAGTTTAGAAATGATGACATATGATTAAGTTGTCTCCTCTTAATAATCTCTGCTTGTATACATAACTAACTGCAATTAGGGCAGAATTTTATAACGGATTTGTATTATACAGATGATCACTTCCTATTTTTTATCAATTCTGGCAAGATGAATACCTAAGTATCTCTCTTTTTTTTACAGTAATAATTCTACTGAAAATTTTCAACAGAATATTCAAATAGCAAACAAGTAAACAAAACAGGCTTTGGATAAGCATGATTGATGAGTGTCAGTAAATGAGTGAACAACAGATCCTGCAGGTTGGTTGGATTATTAGATCAAATGTTTATTTTTCCTTATTCTTTAAAAAATTATAATCCTTTCTTATGAATTTTCAAATGAAATTTATTACAAAAGAAATTTGCTGTGGGACTAATAGGAATATTTGCTGGTTGTGATCCTGCAAAAAAATTACCTATTTGTTTAAATGTACAAGTGTTTTAATCAAATTGAATTTTTACAGTATTATAACTGTTTTACTGGGGTCCTGTTTTGAATAGTATTATACCTAATGCAAAATGGTGAAGCACTAAATTTTAGTAGCTTAATTAAGATGGTCAGAAGCAAAGTAAGGGGACTTTGAGTAATATTAAATTCCTTGAAATTTGAGGAGACTGAAAGTAGCTTAATGAACATCAGTTTCACCGCAAAAAGATATAGCTGCAAGAAATCAAAAAGCTTTATTTTGACTTCTTGAGATTAAAATGTTTTGCTTTGGAAATACCAAAATATTCAATTGCAACAGTTCCAATGTGAAACTTCTGACTTTCCCTTTTCAATACATCATTATTTTCAATCACTGTGAGGAAGAGATATAGAGAACTAATTAATGTTAATAATATAAATATCAATAATAGAAAGGTATATACATTGAAGCAAATTAAGTAAACTGAAAAAAGAAAACCAATCTTTTAAACCTTAGTCTTATGTTGCAGTGGCATTGAAAATTATTCTATTCCCTTAGCTAAATAGACCAGAACAGTTGTCCTGAATTTTTAATTTTTTTTTGTTTCTTCAATCTCAACACTAAATCAAATGTAATTATCTAGCTTTCCTTAGGAAGCCTGTTAGAAAAAACCAATTGCATTACCTGTATTACCTTGCATATTTTATGTAATTTCCATATCTCTGGTCAGCTGCTTTTCTACTGAGGGATCTGAATGATCAGGGCAATATATTAATTTTGATTATGTATTCATTTTGATTGACTGAATGTGGATTATACGGACAGATCCTATTCTATTTTAAAGGAATGAGTGGCCTTTACAGATCAAATACAGAGGCACAGAAACAAAAGATATACAGTAAATGGCTTACTAAATCTTAGCCAGCTTTGTTGGTTTTGTATAAAATCTGTTTTAGATATGATTGTTACAGCAATATGTGAAGGCTATTGAAAAAACTATTTGTGTAAAACTAAAGCATTTTCTCATTGTCCAACAATTGTCCAGTTGTCACCAAGAAGTCAGCTTTTTTTCTATGCCGGATTTGAGCTTTAAAAGCAGACTTGCCACTTCACTGTGTATTTCCTATAACCCAACTTGGATATATTTATTGTTTCACGCTGTAGAAAGCAATTTGAATGCTCCAGAAGCCTCTCAAACTACAAACAGTTTTTTCATCCCAGACAGGGTTGCTGACCCAGACAGTTAAGTGACCTCTGTAGGCTGCGACTCAAAAAATATAAAGTATTTCAGGAAGTAGGGGAGATACTTCTTTTTAAGTAGAGGACACACACTCTGGTGAGAGTTTGGTATCCTTTAGATAGATGTTTGACTGCTGGGCACTAACAGAAACTACATATTACTGTAGTTCACAACTTAGTGAAGGCCCACGGTGCTGAAACCCAGCTGGAAAGAGTTATCCCATCTGTTCACTGAAGACTTTAGGGTGGTTAGCCTGTAGCTATCACATTCTGCTCTGACACATACCTCATTTCTCTCTGCAAGCTATTACGCGTGTTTGTTGCATTCACTGGCTCCTCCAGTTTAAGGTAATTTAGTCATGGGCTGAGTGCAAAAGAGGTGGTGAAAGCTGGGTATCTAAATTATGATAGAGTTAAGCTTGGGTATGTGCTCCATTGTATACAGCAGCTGTGGCAGTAACAAAGTGCTTCCAACTGCCTTCTTTCTTCTTTTCTTTTTTTGGGGGGAATCTGTGAAGTATGCTGTGTATATAACACCCTTAAGTATATCACAAAAATGTGTTTATTTTTTACTTTTCAATATACTTTTATATTTATTTGTGAGTAAAGGTCTTAGAACAAGACAAATAATGGTCCTATAGAGAAACAAATATTTTGTTCATTGGCTATAAAGAAACAGAACTCTGCACATGCAGTCTCTTTAATTGGATTAAACCTAGTTCTTGATGTTGGCCTTATAGCAGCAAATAGGCATTTTGGGGTTCTCAGCCCACATGAATCATTCATTGCCTGGCACTCACCATTCAGATTTGTGTGTGTAGTGTAGCAACACTTGTTTGTAATGTAATGACTGAAGACCAGTATCAACATAACCTGTAAACAGAAGAACGGTCCTGCTCCACTGAAGTAAGTTATTCTACCAAATTGCGCATAGGAGGAATGATCTGCTCAAGGATCTGGGAAAGTAGACCACTTACAAAAACCCTTCAACCACAACCCAAATCCTGGATTTTTCTGTTAAAAAGGTTATGAGGAAACACCAAGTAAAAACTACATTAGAAGAATGAAAAACGTAAGAAACTGATGATGTATGAAATCTGGGAGTAACTATACAACATCTTAGATATTCTACTTAATCCTGCCTTGTAGGATGTTGTATCTAAATCAGAAAATATTAGAGGTCATATATGTTATCTTACATATATATATTCACTTTATATAAGTATACGATATGTATCTATCTCCTATATAACGTATAACATTGAGAGAAAAATATTCTAAGGCAGAAAAACAATTGCTCAACTGAAAGCTAATTTTACTTTAGTATAATTAATTTTTTAATTAAAATCAACACTATGAATTTGCTAAATGCATTCATATTGGGGGAGCCTATCCAAAGAAGAAAGTATGAAAATAGCATTTTCTTTCTTAATAGAGGCAAGTACAGCTGCCTGCAAAAAAAGAAAAAAGAAAGAAAAAATAATTACATGAGAATATGTACCAGAGCTTTTTCACAGTTTTTCTTAATGAATTGTTTCCCTTCTCTTCCTTTCCCTTTATTGTCCTTTTATCTGTCATAAATCTGAATAATAGTTTCTCCTACCTCTGCTCTATTTTTGTTTCCTCAATCTAATTTTCTCTATCCACAGATATTAACAAAAACTTCAGTTTGTTTTTTCCACCAGATTTCTGTTATTTTATCACCAAGATCCCATCAAGAAGCTTTTATGATTTTTCTGCTTCTGTTCATCTCTCTCCTCCTTTTCCCATACCTTTTCTTTAAAGGTATTGTTTTCTGTAATATCGATTTTTCTCTAATATTATTTAATCTCTTTATTTTTCTCAAAACTCTGTCTTTTCTGTGTGATGCACCGTGGTTCATTCAGTTCTTCAATATTTCTCATCTTCTCAGCCTCTTTGATCTAATTCCCTCCCCTTTTTTTCCCCTCTGCTCCTCATTGTCTTTTTACTGCCCTTTTCACCTCTTGATTTTTTTCTCCTTTTCCTGGATGATTTCTTCTGTAGCTAGGTTCTCTCAATTACTACATACTCCCTCTAATTTTTTTCCTTCTCCCAGTATCGCCTCTTGAATATTACTTCCCCTGCTGCTGCTGAAAGATGCAGGGCCTTTCTTCTGTTCCTTTCTGTTTGTAAGAAAAGTGTTGTCTTGCCTATCTTTCGAACTGGGAAGAGGACAGCTGCCTAAAGGATTACATCGTTCCTTGGCCCTCCAAGGAAAGCGGTGTGGTGATCCATCAGCAAACTGGCAGGTACCTTGTCTCCTTTTACTTGAAGTTACAGAATGTTTTATCCATCACCTTAGCAACAAGCATGGGAAGGAGCACACAGATTACTGGCCAAGCCTCTTTTCTTCTTTTTCCTCAAGTCTTAAATATATGTGTGCCCAGACAGGAATAAACCAGAGGGTTTTCTTGTGTATAGTTGAATTCTACATGAAAAAGACTTCACTGGTTGTCATGTGTGCCTTTTGAAATGCTCACGGCTAAGGTGATACTTCCCAGGAAGAATCATACAGCCATTACTTTAAAAGGTTGAAAACTTGAGGAAGAGGTGAAAGGATTCCATTCAATGGATTGACTTACGGAATAGAAATGAATGCTGGAAAGAGTACAATTGTTCTTTTCATTAAGATGATATTAAAGAAATTAGTATATAGTGCTGGTTTCCTGACTTCCCATGAAATCTTCAGATTTCATGCAGTTCTATTTCTTATACGACAGAATTTTCAGATAACTGTAGGAGTGGGGCCAACATATGTGTAGGACAGACAGGGTCAACAGCAATAACATACATCATTAGAGGCTTACAGCAGACGACAGATAACATATAAAACAGATATGCAGAACTCAAACAGGGGAGACAGTTGGACACGAGCTTCATGGTAGCCTAGTCTAAAATGGGTTTTTTGAACTATAGGCTCTATTGAAGAGAGATGAGATTTAACTACATATATGTACAGTATATCTAGTATGACAGCAACAAAAATCTCGATACTCTGAACTCCGCAACTATACAAACAGTACCAATGAATATTTGAAGTTCTTGGGGAATATATATATTAAACATTAAGTAGTTAAAATGAAGTATGTATTGACTGCAAGGAGCACCCAGTTAATTTAGTTCTGATAAATAAAAAAATGAGGAAAGAAAAAAATCATTTGTTCATTTACAGGTAAAATGAATAGCAGAAGAGTTGTGTTTTCGCTCTCGCTACATCTTCTACTCACTTCACATCTTCCTGACAAGGAAGGATGAGTGAAGTGGTTCTGGATAGATCCGTTGTTAAACATTCAGTGTTCGGTTTCTCTTTTGGAAGAAGTCTTAGGTTCTATTTGTGAATGGACAATGTGAGTACTTGTCGTTTACTACCCAGTAGCAGGATAAAGCCTCATAGCTACTATCTTAGCAATTCCATGTTTTATTCAGTGTTCTAAGACATGAGATAGAATACAGCATTCCTACTTATTTCCTACCATGGACACTATTTTGCAAAACCCCACTAAATCTCAGTGTCTCTAGTAGGCAGAACACATCAGTTGTTTGCTATGTTACCATCTTTGACAGAATTTTCCTTCCCTAAAACAGGTAAAATATGTAGGACTTTTTTTTTTTTTTTTTTTTTTTGTCGACCTGTCCTACCTTTTGTGCTTTTGGCATATCAGTGTGGCGCTGAGCACGTACAGAGCGTGCAGATTTAGGTGGCTTTATTGGAGCACAATACATCTCCAGCCTCCTCAGGTCACAACTCTGGAAGCAGCATTCATCCACTATTCCCTTGTGGTGTAAGCGTCTACTGCTGGATCCATACCCTGTAGGCTTACCTATTCAAAACACAAATGGAAAGTTTTTACGTTAGAAAGAAAATGCAAAGATCTCAGCAGCAATCATATTAAGTTGCATTATTTTAACTGAATCACCAATGACAGTTGTAGAGGCTGCCTGTGTGTATCTATTCTAAGACCCTGTTCTCCATACAGCTTTGAAAGATATTCCTGGAAACGGCTAGCTTTGATCTCTGTCTATGGGTGGTTGCTAACTAAGTATTGAGCGAAATTATATCTTCTTAGAAAAGTGTTATTAAGAGAGTTTCTTGAACTGTCTTGGCATTGAAAATGGAGAGGGAGGTAGTTGAAATCTGGCATTTAGAAGCCTTGCGAAGGAAATCTGCCCTTTAGCTTTTGGATGAAAACTGATTCTTGAGCTGACGGAGGTAGCTGGTGCTTAAAGATCATAGGTCATACCTGTGTTGTAGGCAAGTATTTTCTAATGAAAAGGTCTACACTGAGCCACTATGTGAAGTCAGAGTGTGTTCCAAAGGGGAGATAAATCCTGTATACCGCTGCACAGGCTCTAAGATCTGCAAAAACTAGCAGGAAGCAGGAAATAAGGTAACAAAGCAATCAATGAAATGCAAAAATGGACGAATTAAAAGCAGAAGGTTTTACATTCTACAGTTTTGCACAAGATAGGAAATGGGACTGACATAATGTGGTCTTTCACGTGTTTTTTGTTTGCATTGGCTCTCTGTAGAAACTACATGATTGGTAAATGTTTCACATTTTTCACTCAGCTGCAATAAAGGCTGAAATTTGTATTCCTAGAACTCTTACACTTTTTTTTTTTTTTTTTAGCGAATTATGACATCTTTAGTAACTGTTGATTTCTCAGCTATACTATGCAAAGATTACAGACCCATTATTTCATGAGCTTGTTTGTATGCAACCTGGTTGGATGTGCAGTTGCCCTGTTATGATTAACTAGAAATGAAGGGACAGTGAATTCACACAAAAAAAAAACCCAAACAACAAAAAAGTAGTTGCTTACTTACTACGTCTATTTTGAAATTCTGGTAGAATTCAGTTTCAGACTGTAAAATTCTGAAAAGGTTAAATGTTTTGTTTTGACAGTTTCAGCATTAAATGTTTCCATTTACAGAATGATCCACATTCGTTAAGAACCCAAAAATATGGAGAAAGGGAAAGAAAATCGCACCAAGATCCAAAAAATGAAGCAACTCAATTGAATCAGCTCTACCAATTTTTTTTCTTGCCTTTTTTTCCCCCCCTTCAGTTTTATCACTGAAACCAAAAATCTGTTATTCACAAAGTTTGGCAGGAGTTTACATTTTAAGAAATTACTCAAGCTAGATAAAGGATAAGGGTATCAAAAAAGATGAAAATTCGGTTTCTCTTTGGGAAACTATTGCCTCCAATGCTTATACAGCAAATTCTAGGTTAATATCCATATACTTGTCCTGCAGTTGTCCATTTGAAGACAACACCGCATTTTGCAATTCTCTGTAATTAAAACATATGTCCACTGATGAGAACCCTCGAGGCCTTAGTACATCCATAAATGAAAAGACCTCTAGTGGTAAAGTATGTCTAACATTTTAGCCAGCAATACAGTCAGCTAAGAAATAACTATCCCTATGAGCTTTGTAAACCCAGACAATAGGTTTTTAAATGTCTTTTCTTCCAGGGACTATAAATTAAGCAAAAAGAAAAACATGCTTACTTAGTATATTGCAATCCACTAAGGACCTCTATACTGTACATTGCCTGCTAAATTAGTTGTTTCATAAGACTGAACAGAACAAGAAGCCAGGAGTAGATTACAGTAATATTTTTATTTGTCTGTGTGTATGCTGTTTTCTATGTATTGCTGAAAAGTGTTATAAATATTGAGACACAGATTTTTGTTTTGTTTTTTCCAGACTATTTTCACTCACTGAGTTATGATATAAAGCACAAGCTTTTCCCTGGCAATTTTTCTGAAATCTGTTAATCAGGTTGTCTTAGCTTAATACTTTTAAAATTTAGCAGTCGTGACAAAATGTGGAGTGTCATTGCTGTGAGGCATCCCCAGAGCTGTTCCACGTTTTGTCTTGCTCCTGTTTAAAACATGGAAGGGCAAATTCTGTTCCTAGATATGCAGGTGTAACTCTTCCTAATAGATCCAGATGAACTGTAAGTACAAATAGTTGATTAGTTAGGTTACTTTTCTTTTCTCAGTCTGCCAATTTGTCATAAGCAAACACACTCTACAAACTTCTGTTCAAGAATTTTTCTTTAAATGGTATTTCATAGCAGCTTACAGTCATCAGGGTTTAGTTGTTTCCCTGGTTACTGCTGAGAGTAAAAATAAGGAGGGACAGATTATTGGTTAGTTTCATCTGCCTTATTGTAACCTTTCTACCTAGAAAAGAAGTTACCTATTAAAAAAAAAAAAATTCTATTAATCCAATAGAAGATTTCAGGATTAGTAATCATAGAATTGTTTAGGTTGGAAAAGACATTTAAGAGCATCAAGTCCGGCCACTAACCTAGCAATGCCAAGTCTACCACTAAACCATGTCCCTAAGCACCACATCTACACGTCTTTTGAATACCTCCAGGGATGGTGACTCAACCACTTCCCTGGGCAGCCTGTTCCAAGGCTTGACAATCCTTTCAGTGAAGAAATTTTTCCAAATATCCAATCTAAACCTCCCCTGGTGCAACTTGAGGCCATTTCCTTTTGTCCTTTTGCTTGTTACTTGGGAGAAGAGACTGTTATAGTATTTTGAACTTCTAAAAATCTTACAAATGTTAGGTCCTCATGACAGTCATGCTAGGTAGATAATATTACCTCCAGATGACAAAATTTAGAATCAATAATGTGAAATATGATGGCCAGGAACTTCCATGAGTTAACAACAGAAGTTTGAAGAAGAAATCTTCCTTCTGTGAGTAGCAAGAATATAAATGTCTTTAACGTGTAAATCCATTAGCAAAGCAAGTGTCCTTGTTCTTTACTGAAGCCAATTATCTACTTTGTAGAGTACTTGTTGGGGTATTTTTTCTTAGTGGTATATTTTGGTCAGAATGACCTTCTAAGAAGGACTAATTACTGACAGTGCCGTTTTTTAGAATATGAATGGGTTATAAAGGAAATAGTCAAATGAAATGTAAAGTTTGAAAGATCTCAAAATTTTGTTGTTTAATATGGTTAACATTTAGCTTTGTCATGATTAAAGCCAAAGATGAAATTGTTAGTAGGTGATTTTTTTATTATTATTTTTTTAATCTCTTTTAAAAATCAATAGTTCTTTCCAATTTGGCTGTGTTGAGCCTGTACTTATACAGCATTCCTTGTATTTTGCCATTTTTAATTTAGCTCAGTTATATAATCTGATGCTTTCTTTCTTTATTTTTTACTCAAGACATAAGAAAAAGCAATTATATGCAATGGGTTATATAGAGTTCTACCAGTTTATTAGTATTATTGCTTGTAAAAAATTTATGACTTTTTGGTAAATACAGTCATTTCAACAGGAATATGTTTGATTTTTCTTTGATTGTACATGAAGTAGAGGAACTAGAGCTCTGTACTCTAACTTTTAGTAAGATCGCTCATTTATTTGTGTATGATGTCTTCCCAATAAGTCAAGCAGGAACTTATGCATTATTTTTGTTAGTTGGAAGTTGTCAATTCTGAGTTTTATCCTCATCTATCTACTGTCTTGTTGTGTGATTACATGGAAGTTATTTTACCCTTCAGTGTCTGAATTTACCATTTATAAAGTTGATAAAATACCTTGAATAACCCATGAAGCACTGCCTGCCTTATTTAGTAATCAGTAGCAACATTTCTCCTGCACTATCGTATGCATAAATAATTAATAAAATCCTGAATTCTGGAATCTTTTGGGTGAAAATCTCAGTGTACTTCAAAATTATTTTTACTGTAGCCAGACCAAAGACTTCTATGAGTTGTTTTTCTTTCTGACAGAATAATAACTTTACGAAGGAGGATATAATATCTTCTAGCTCTTTAAAAAACCTCTATATACATGTAACAAGTTTGGAATGAAATCACTAACACATCAGTGATGTGATCAGCAATGAGACTTGTGTTTTATATATAGACTTAAATATTCATGTATAACATATCATACTAAATGCTCATCCTCCATAAAAAGATAACATTAGGACTGTGAAGTCAAATAGGTGTTTTTTTTTTTCTTTATAATATTTTTCCCCAGATTTTTGAAAGACCTGAGCAATCAAGTGTACTTAAAATTCGTATGAAATAGAATGGGATATTACCTGAATTGCTGTACAAAAGATAGAGAAAATAAATAGAAAAAAAAATATTATTCTTTTACAGTAATCATGGTCGTGGACTCTACTTTTGAGAAGTATCCAGTGTCTAGATTAATTTTAAACCAATAGATTTTAAATTGCTGCTGTCCTCCAAAGTGCTGCAGTATACAAAAGATGCTATCACAGACAAACATGAGATAAAGAATTACAAGGAGTTACTACCACTTCTACAGATATTATCAGTATTTGGCCCGTCTTCTTCTGGAAGGACTTCAGGATCAGATGGTCCCAGTTCATCAAGTTACAAACTATGCACTTAGATCTAGGCAAATGTTCAATCTCCTACACGGTCTGTTGGACTAAAGCAGATATTCAACAGTAAGCACATGCCTAAGTGCTCTCCTACACAGGGACTGATGTAACTAAGCACTTAAGTTAATTTCTACACCAAAATCCATATTAATAAATAGATGTCTAGTGGTTCTGCACATTTTATACCAGTTTTTCTGTTCCTTAATTATTTTTTTTTTTAATGACATTGCCTTAAAATACTGACTGATCCTGCTGTGTCAGTATACTGGGCACCCGTATAGTTATTTCTCATCTTTCTGACACAATTTGAGTGCTGCCTTCCAGCTGTTATCAAAAGGTTCCCTATATTTACTCAACCTTCAAAGTGCTGCCTGTGGACATATAACAGTCCTAGGCATTCCTTTTTGCTGACGTACACTGAT